CGGCACTCTACCCAGGGGGACAGCTTGAGGCTCTGTCTCAAAAAAAAAAAAAAAAGAAAATGGAGGCAAAGACTGGAGTGATGCGGCCACAGCCACAGAATGCTGGAGATAGCAGTGGGCGTGGGCAGCAAGGAGAGGGGTGTGGAGCTGATTCCACCTCAGAACATGGAGGAGGCACCAGCATGTCTGTGCATTGATTTCAGGCTTCTGGCCTACAGAGCTGTGAGAGAAAAATGTCTATTGTTTCAAGCCACCGTATTTATGGTAGTTTGTTCTGGCCCCCTGGGAAACTAATAGAGATGGTAGCAGGGTCTCACCAGTCTGAGTTGTCCCCAGAGGCAGGAGCTAAGAGAGTAAAACCCTCCACCTTCTTCCGTCCTGCTGGAGTCAGGACCATTGGCCAAGCCCTACCAGAAGCCAGAGGGTAGGGGACTTCAAAGATGTGCTCAGACCAGTTATTGTCCATCCTGGGAGGCAGAAGGGTGGGGAAGGTGGAAGATGGGTCTGGAGGAGCAAATAGAGGCTGTGTGGCACACTTCTTTGTAGGTCATAGGTGTTGCAGCCATCGATCCTGATTTGTCTGGAGCAGTTTGGTTTTTACCTGTTGTCCCAATTTCCAAATTAAAGAACTAATTAGCCCCTTTTTACTGTCAGGTGTCCAGGCTTGAATAATAAATCATATGGTCCTTTTACTAAAGGAGGAAACGCAGTTGGATCATTATTCCTGGGAACAGAGTGTGCTGTGGGGTATGTTAAGTGAGGCAAGTGACCACAATTAGCAGAATACTCTGCCTTTGGATTGTCCTATTGTCCTAACCATTCTTGACAGGTAGGAAAAAACACTTGACAAGGACACACCTACCTCCCAAACCTGGGTTATAAGCCCCATATTTTCTGCATTTAGTTTCCATTTTTTTTTTTTTGAGACAGAGTCTCATATGTCACCCCCAGGAGTGTGATATGGTGTCACAGCTCGCAGCAACCTCAAACTCTTGGGCTTAAACGATTCTCTTGCCTCAGCCTCCTCAGTAGCTGAGACTATGGTGCCTGCCACAACACCTGGCTATTCTCTTGTTGCAGTTGTCATTGTTGTTTAGCTGGCCTGGGCTGGGCTCAAACCTGCCATGTTCCATGCATGTGGCTGGCACTGTAACCACTGTGGTATAGGTGCCAAGCCTTTAGCTTTCTTTTTCTACCTCCTCCCCTTCTTCTTCTTTTTTTTTTCTGTTGCCCTGGGTAGAGTACCATGGTGTCATAGCTCACAGCAACCTCAAACCCTTGGGCTCAAGTGATCTTCTTGCCTCAGAGTCCTGAGTAGCTGGGACTACAGGTGGCTGCCACGACGCCCAGCTAATTTTTCTATTTTTAGTAGAGCTGGGTCTCAGTCTTGCTCAGACTGGTCTGGAACTCTTGAGCTCAAGTGATCTACCCACCTCGCCTCCCAGAGTACTAGGATCACAGGTGTGAGCCACCAAGCCTGGCCTGCATTTTCATCCTGAAGATCTTTGCATGTCAGGACGTAGATATTTCCCCTTTTTGTTTTAACTCCTACCAGTGCTCCATATTTATTTAACTGTTCCCTTATTGGTGAACATTTATTACTTAAAGTTCTCTGTGGAAACAGTGCTTCAGAGACAGTTCTTGTACATGCCTCTTCATGTATGTGTGTGACTATTTCTAAAGGAGCTACTGTCTCAGAGTTCTTAGCTGCAGGCAACAGATACAAGCTAGTTTAAGAGAAAAGGAATTCACTGAAATAGATGAGTTGTTCACAGACCCTTGAGTGGACTGGAGCAGGAGGTTCCAGCCTACTTTTGAAGGACCAGTGCCCAGAACCTCACTGTTGAAGAGGGAATTAGTCCTTTGGAAGCTGCTTCTGCTGGCACTGACTTCAGACCTCTGGGTTAACTGGCCCAATGAGGAACAGAAGTTGTCTTCTGTGCCCCTGTCGCCCAGAGTATGCTGAATTTTGTTGAAGTTAAACTTATATTTTATTTTCATTGAGAGTGCATTTAATGTAAATATGTTTCAGTGAATGCAGATAGAGTACATGACAGATATATTTTATGAGATAGTAGGCTTGGAGAATTTCATTCATTGTCAGAGATTTGCTGAGTGGTTTAGAACTGGGGTACAGATGTTAAGAACAATGAGGAAGGGTGACACCTGTGGCTCAGTGGGTAGGGCGCTGGCTCCATATACTGAGGGGGGGTGGGTTCAACTCGGCCCCAGCCAAACTGCAACAAAAAAAATAGCCGGGCATTGTGGCAGGTGCCTGTAAGTCCCAGCTACTCGGGAGGCTGAGGCAAGAGAATCACCTAAGCTCAAGAGCTGGAGGTTGCTGTGAGCTGTGATGCCATGGCACTCTACAGAGGGCGACAAAGTGAGACTCTGTCTCTAAAAAAAAAGAAAAGAATAAAAAAGAACAATGAGGAAGTGTTTTCTGGGTTTCTTCATTATTTACCATGACTGTATTCAAAAGGCAATATGGAGCGCAGAGGATAAATAATGGGAAAGAGTTCAGGGACTAGATATAACAGGAGAAATAAAAAAGATTAGAAGTGTCTTTCCCCCACGACCTGTGCCCCAGCTGTAAGCCCTGGGCAGGGTGTGGGAGCCTCTCACCCTCCACACAACCATGAACCTGGGGGTAGAGACAGAATGTACAGTGTGCACGTGCCCTTTAGAAGGCCTGGGAATAATTGCTCTGCACTACTGATGCACATGGTCTTTCCCTTCCTATTTTCTAAACAGTCCTCTTTCTTCTCCGTAAAGAAGCCAGCGAAGGCCAGACAACAGAAACAGGGGCTTGACTGTCAGTCCCACCAGCTTAGGACTCTGTCTTGTCTGTCACCAGCCTTGAGTCTTTAGGCAGAGTCAGCTGTTGGAGTCTTCAGATTTTCATACGTAAAATGAAGACTTCTGGAAAGTCAACAGCACATACCATATAGAGTATCGTTAAAGCTGATATACAGAGTAAGCAATTCTTAATAAGTCAGTGGGATTTCATTTATACACAGTTCTGCTAATCATATGATTTAGGATTTAGACTGTTGATGCCTCTCTGAGAATTCACAGACCAATCAGACCCTGTATTAGATGTGGGAAAGGGAGGCTCTGGAAGCAAATGTACCTTTATTAAGCATCAACTGCATGGAGGACCATGTTCTATTCTTCTGGAAGATGCAAAGAAAATTAGGTAACTAGGATACGATATGTTCCCTGCTCTTAAGGAGCCTACTTTTAGCTGGTGAGGCAAAACCTCCCCTAGAGAAACATGTGAGATGCAGAACAAAGATGTTTGTTTGTTCAGTGGCCTGAGCAAAACAATGAAGGAGATGTCAGTGAGCTGCTGATCAGTTTCAGACCCAAGGAGTTTATGGGAATTTTCTGGAGGCGGACTTGTTGTTGGGACTAAAGCAAGGGGATGTAAAGACGAGCATAAAGACACTATGCATTAAAAATGTGAATGCCAATGGGTTTTGTGTAGGATTTACTAAATAGGATCTAGGAAATTGCTGGCGAGTGTCATGGTGGTTAAACAAGTAGTTGATCACTTTGCTTCGGCTGGAGTAGAGGTCAGGAATAAAATACGTGGTGGAATGTTTGAAAATTTGATTGATGGAAATTTGAAAAGCCAATATACAGTTGTGTTCTCACTTTGTGTGCCAAGTATGTAACTAGGCTAATCCACACAAATTAAATACGTATATGTATATGCGCGTGTGTGTGTGTGTATGTCTATGAGATTCTTATAATTTCAAGCGGGCGTGTAAGTGAATTTTACTGTATTTCTTTATGCTGTTTCCACACGTCACTTTAGTTAGCCAACAGAAATACTGACCATTGCAATTTTGATTTGTGAGAAGTCTTTATTCCTCAAGTAAAAACCTAAAGAGGCAGCTGGCGATGGCATTGCTGCTGGACTCTGGACTTCCTGCTTCAAAGGCCTCCCTTCTATTCTTCTGTCTCCACCATGGTTATCTCTGGCACACGCCCCTACTCCCGTGGTCCTCTTCCTACTCTCTAATTCCCTGTCATCCACATAATTACATCATGCCCCTTTCTCAGGTTCCTCTCTCTGTCTTGTCAGCCACTAGAGGCTCAGTGACAGGGACAACACTCGGGACCACCTGCTGTCCATCAGGGCCATTACCTTCACTGGGGACTGAAGAGGGTGCTGTGCACATGGCTGACACAACCCATAGGAGGAAGATGGAGTGCAGTGTGTATGGGCATGATGGCCCTTGTCTCAGAGGGTGGTCTTTGAAAGGAGGAGAGCCTGGTCATCTTTCTCTGACTGCTTCACTTCCTGCAGCATCATGTAGAGGGGGCCTGGCGTGCTTGTGTGATATGGAGCTTCTTTGGACCTCATCCTCTTCAAGCTGGGGCTGTAATAGTGATGCCATAAAAAGGAGAAGCCATAGATTCCCAACAGGCATGAGGCATTGATCATCAGATGCCAGCAGAAGAAGGTGGTGACAAACATGAGGTCTCTGATGTCATCGTCCTGCCAGGGGTAGCCGGAGAGCGGTCTGAATAGGATAAAGCCTGCCTGCATCAGCCAGGAGCCCATCAAGAGAAACAGAAAGGTCTCCATCATCCAGAGGTAAGACATGTCAGGAGCCCACAGCTCTGCCATCAGCACCAGCAGCAGGAGGAACACCACCATGATGACCAGAGCATGGACTTGCAGCTCTATGCCTTCTGAGCCTTTAACGTGTGACACCATCAGTAGCAGGAGCTCGACGAAGCTCAGGACCAGGGTTCCTTTTTCTAGGACCACACACCTCCGAGGCAGCAGATTCTTGCTCGTGACGTCTACACAGCCACTGAGGATTAGCAGCACAAACATGGTGAGATGTTGCCACTCTTTGGGGTACATAAACGTTGGTGGCATCTGTTTGTTCATCAGCACCATCCCATCATCAGGACAAGTGACCACATAAACTGTTAAGATGGAGCCAATCACTATCCTCAGCCAGCCTCCATAGGATATTTTCCCCAGCCTGGCCCATCTTGTCTTATTCTTGGGAAAACAGGAAGGATATGGGGGAGACTCTTTAAATATGACGTTCTTGGAGACTACTGTTGCTTGATATAGTCCATAAGAGAACAGGTACAGGCCCGGGTAAAAATGACCATTGAACATCCCCATGTAGTTAGAGGTCTGGCTGACTGAGGACCGAAGAACAAAACTCAAGACTTCTCCGCCTGCCTTTCCCTGATGGGCCCCTCACGTTTTGGGCTATATGCCCAGAGCTAACTTCTACCTACTTTTATCATTTTCCTCCACCCACTCCTCTCCCACAGAATGAGAAGTTCTGGACAAGAGCCGAAGCTTTTGGAAAGTGGGTCTCATTGTTCCATCCCATTCTAGTACAGTGGGAACTAACTGACTTCAAACAAGGAAGAGAAATACTTTTTACTATGCACCTGTGGGATTGTGTATTCTCGGGGGGCTTTGCTTTGAACCCTTGAGGAACTTCTGGTCACACGTGTCCTTTTCTCTTATGGTGTGTTTCCTTCTGCTCCTGTCCAGTGCCTGAAGAAGGGGACAGGTCCCTGAGCATGGAGACTATCCAGAGAAGGCCTGCGTTACTCACAGATTTTTTTGTGCACCTTCTAAGACAACTTACTCATCTTTTAGGCATATATTGAAAGCAAATATATTTGCTTTGGAGGTAACATTTTATAAACCTTTGGGTGTGTGCTCACGTAGATGGTAGATACTGAGCTCCTACTTGTCCTCTTTGTTCTTCTGTAACAGATTTTGAGGACCACCTAGAAAGCTGCTCACCTGCTCAGTTCTCTCTCTACTGGACAATAGATTAACCTAAAAACCTACCTTTTGAGATCAATTTTGGGATGTTAGGTGTAATCTCTTACTAAAATACACATATGTGAAGACAAGTAAATCCAATCAGCTGTGTATATTTTAACGTGAATGAACTCCTCAATTTTACTTTCTCTTTTAATTATTATAGGCTATGTGTTCAATACCTAGAGGCAGAAAGAGTCCTGGACATTAGGTGATAGCCAGCTGCATAGGAGGGATTACACTTAAGTCAAGAATTTTTATTTTTATTTATTTTTTTGAAATAGCTCATTATGTCACCCTTAGTAGAGTGCTGTGGCATCGCAGCTCACAGCAACCTGCAACTCTTGGGCTTAAGTGATTCTCTTGCTTCAGCCTACCAAGTAGCTGGGACTACAGGCGCCTGCCACAATGCCCAGCTATTTTTTCTTGTTGTTGTTGTAGATGTCATTGTTGTTTGGCCCGGGTTCGAACCCACCAGCCCCAGTGTATGTGGCTAGCACCCTAACCGCTGAGCTATAGGCGCTGAGCCAAGATTTTATTTTTTTAATAAAAATTATATACACAGTAATCTTTCCTTATCCAAAGAGGATACTTTCCAAATCCCCAGTAGATGACGGAAACCATGAATAGTACTGAACCCTATGTATACTGTGTTTTTTTCCTATACATACATACCTATGATAATGTTTAATTTATAGATTAGGCACAGTAAGAGATCAACAACAAATACTAAAATAAAATAGGACAATTATAACAATATACTGCAATAAAGTGATATAAATGTGGTTTCCCTCACTTTCACTCAAAATACTATAATTTTTTGGACACCAGTAATCTACAGGTCATGGAAACCAAAGAAAGCAAAGCTGTGGATAAAGGGGATTACTGCATTTGAGTTGTACAACATACCATTTTGACATGCGTTATACACTGTGAAGTGATTCTTATGGTGCAGCTCATTAACATATCTGTTCCCTCACATAGTTACCTTTTTTGGTGGTGAAAACGTTTAAGACCTACTGTCTTTGCACACTTCGAGTATACAATACAGTATTATCAACTGGAATCATCATGCCATATGTTCACTTTCTAGAACTTATTCATCCTACATGATTAAGACTTTGTACCTTTTGACCAACATTTCGAAATTTCCCCCATGCCTACCCAGCTGGCCACCATTCTCATTCTACTTTCTGTTTCTATGAATTCAACCTTTTTAGGTTTCATAGACAAGTGAGATCATGCATTATTTTTCTTTCATTGTTTGAGTTTCTGGGTTACTTCATTTAACATAATGGCCTTCAGGTTCATCCACAATGTTGCAAATGGTAGGATCTCCTTCTTTTTAAAGGTTGAATAAATATGCCATTGCGTGTATATATACACATTATAATTTCTTTATTCATCTGTTGATGGACACTTAGATTGTTTCCATGTCTTGGTTATTGTGAATGATATTGCAATGAACACGAGAATCCAGTTATCTCTTTGAGATACTGATTTCATTTCCTTTGGCTATATATCCAGAAGTGGGATACTGGATCATATGGTAGTCCTATTTTTTAATTCTTTGGTTTTTTGAAACAGAGGCTCACTTTGTTCCCCTGGGTAGAATGCCATGGCATCATAGCTCACCGCAACCTCAAACTCCTGGGGTCAAGTGATCCTCTTGCCTCAACCTCCCAAGTAGCTAGGACTACAGGTGCCTGCCATAATGCCTGGCTATTTTTTTAGAGATAGGGTCTTGCTCTTGCTCGGGTTGGTCTTGAACTCCTGAGCTTAGGCAATCCACCCTCTTCCAAAAATTCTTCCCAAAGTGCTAGGATCACAGGTGTGAGCCACCTCACCTGGCCTCTATTTTTAAACTTTTGAGAAACCTCTATACTGTTTTCCATAATGGTTATACCAATTTACATTTCCATCATGATATACAAGGGTTCCCTTTTCCCCACATCCTCACCAGCATTTCTCATCTTTTGTCTTTTTGATTATAGGCATCCTAACAGGTGTGAAGTTATATTTCTTTGTGGTTTTGATTTGCATTTCCCTGATAATTAGTGATGTTGAGTGCCTTTTCATATCCCTGTTGGTCATTTTTTTTTTGAACTTCAGAATTTATTTAAATGGAGAAGCTTTCTGAACAGGAGGGAAAAGAAAATTAAAAAAATAGCATCTATGAGAAAGTAACCAAAAGGCACGTAGTGCACGTTTTGTCCTTCCCTCTTATGGGTGCGGGACTAGAGGCAGCCTGGACACACTTTCAATTCCTGAATTCTAAACTTCATTGTACAAAATGCCACTTGAAATATGTATTAAAACCCTCAGCCCAAGACAGTTTTTCAAATCTGAAAGCTTACAGGAGAGGTGGGGCTGAGACAGCATGGAAGGTACAGCCTTGGTTCCTAGGAGTCCTGGTGGGAGGACAGAGGCACCCAGGCGGCAGCACCTCTTCACACAGGCCACCCTGGGAAGGTCACAAGAGAGAATAGGGAAACAGAGGGATGCTGGGTAAAGGTACAAAGGGACAAGTCCCTCAAGCTGATCAGTTCCATGATGGTTCATTTAGTGTGTTCTACTTATGTTATCAAGTTCAATCCAGTGAACTTAACTTACAATTTTTAAAAATGGTAGTGGAGACAGTTATTATAGAATTGCTATTTTTATGTTTAGCAATTAAAAAAATCACTAGCTTTTCTAAAAATTCTTTCCCGGAGATCATTAGAATCTATAAAACAGCAGGAATTTCATAAGGACTGTGTGTAAGTTGTACGTTGGAATCCCAGGCAGGAGCGACTCCCATTGTGGGCGGCCAATAACACTGTTGTAGGTCATGAAATTAGTATCTCATGATAAATACTTTATTCTGGGTGAAGACTGCACAGTTAAAGACACAATAGCATGTTCAGATGAAGCAGGAGTGACCTCGGGTTTGCCCAGAGCTTCGAGCTGAGAGCATCGCAATGCTTCTCAGGAGTCCTCCTCCTTGTCTTTAATTTCAGAAATTCTGTCTATAGATTTAAGGATCTCAGTAACAAGAGTCAACATTTCGGCTCCAGAAACCAGCTGCTTTATGGAAGCCTGTGTGCTGTTCATGACAACATGGAGGTTCTGCAAGGCCACATCGGTGTTCTGCTTCACAACAGTTAAGCTGGCGCCCTGGCCTGACCTCAGAGCTTCGTTCTCACGTTTGGAGACCTGAGCCTGGAGCAAATTTATTTCCTGTTTCAGTTTCATGGTGTGATTTTCTGCCTTTACATCCGGTTTTGTCATGAGCTCCAGGTTCTGCTCCACCTGCTGAACCACCGACTCCAGGTCATGGTAGTCACGTTCCTCCTTGATCATTTTTGCTTCTAATTTCTGCTCAAGTGTCCTCACCATTTCTGTTTGAGTTTTAGAGAAGCTCTGAACCTCACTTAGCTTTCTTCTTAGCTTAGAATTTTCATTGTTCAGTGCCTCATAACTTATCTGCAGCGTTCGTAGATGCCGGTCTCCCAGAGACTCTCCCTGAGCTGCAAAGTCTGTGCCAGGACTCCCCACTAGAGATCTTGGAGACACATGAGAGTCTATGTCACTAAACATCCACGAAGGCAGACACTTGGGCCCCTCAGCTCTGACAGAGTAGAAAAAAATGACAGGTACATGCCACAGGGTGATATGCTGGCTGTGATCCTTGCAGAGTGCGTCTGCTCCATGGCGGATGGTAGATAGGATCCAGTCCACCCATCATTAGGGTGACCAGATGTCCCACTTTAGAACAATTTGTTCTGCGTCCCACGGCATTTTTAAAAAGTCCTGATTTTTGGAAATAATACACGAACAGGAGAACAGGAAGGGAATATGTGGTTTTCGGCTACCATGTGGCTATTTCGCCCGGATATGAGTTTTATATTATTTTTGTTAATTTTATGTTAAACTGTAATAATAACAAATAATTGCTGAGAAGTGATTATCGAGAACTGCTTATCAAAGTTTGCGTTGTTGTCAGGCCCTGCCCTGCCTGGTCCCCTGCCCTGTCCCCTACCCCCCACCCCCCTGCCATGTTGTCCCGCTTTGCAAATGTTAAAATCTGGTCACCCTACCCATCATCCTCATCT